GCCCACCCCCTTGCCCCCCCCCCCCCGCCCCCGCACCACCCCCCCCCCCCCCCGCTCTTACCACCCCCATCATTGTCATCACCATACCACCCCTTACCATCACCATTGTTGCCACCCCACCACCACCCTACCATCATTGCCACTTTCCTACCACTGTTACTTTCTTATCACTGCCATCGTCACCCCACCATCACCTCTACCACAACAACCATCACTACCACCACCGCCCACTACTATCACCACCGTCGTCATTACTATTGCCGCCACCCCACCACCATCATCCCCACCACCACTATCACCTCCACCCCATCACCACCTTACCATCACTGCCTTTGTCCAACCATCACCCCTACCACCACAACACCTATTGCCTCACCACCACCCCTCACGACCATCACCACTACCATTACCACCGTCGCCACCCCACCGCCGCCTCTACCACCCATCACCACTACCATCTCTTACTCTCATTATAACTAGTGCTTAAATTTATTTTTTTTATCTTCTATATTTGTGATTTGATTTTAGATGTGAATACAAATATATTTATTATTGAACTTTTTTTTATCACTATGTACATTCAGGTACAGACAATAACTAATCTATATAATAAAGTACAATACAATTCAAATCTCAAAAAATAAACAAAATAACTTTTACTTTTCGCGGTCCAGATCGTTTTAAATTTTATTTTAACTTCTCAAATTTAATAGCAATAATAGGTTCCCTAAAAGTGTGTTTGAAATGACTTTTTAAAAGTGTTTTTAGAATTTATAATTTCTCTTTAAGTACTTTTTAAAAAAATATAGTGTTTGAAACTGCTTTACTACCACCACCACCTCCACCGCCCCATCACTANTGCTTTACTACCACCACCACCTCCACCGCCCCACCACTACTACAACCACTGTCAATCCACCACCACAACTACCCCCACCACCACCGCCATCACCACTACCACCCCCACCACCTCTCACAACCACCATTACCACACCAACTGCCCCACCACCACCACCGTTATTGCCACCCTACCACCACCACTACCATCGTTGTTGCCACCTTACTACTCCCATCATTGCTGCCACCCTACCACCACCACCGTTGTTGCTACCCTATCACCACCACTACCATGGATGTTGCCACCTTACCACCCCACCATTGCTGCCACCCTACCACCACCACCGCCCCCACCACTACCACTACCACAACAACCACCACTACTACTACCACCACTATCACCACCGTTGTCACCCCACTACCACCTCTGTCACAATAATCACCACCACCACTATTGCCCTGCCACCACCGTCGCCACCGCTGTCACCACCCCACCACTGCCATTGCCACTGTCCAACCATCACCCCTAATGCCCCTCCACCACCCCCACAACCATCACCACACCACTCCAACAACGTCGTCGTAGTCACCACCACCAACATCGTCACCCACGATCGATTGCTACCACCGTTATTCACCAATCACCATCTTCATCTTATTTTTATATGTATTATNTTTCTATTTTTTACTTATTTTAGTTTGCTCCCTTCCTTCAAAATTCCTCACTTGTATATCATATCTGACCAGACACTAGCCCAATAGATGTATTTGTTGGACCAAAATAGTTTTTTAAGTGTAAAAATTAAATTTTTTGTCGACTTTGAGCCTAAATTGAAATAAGACCCGTTTATTGTTTCGAGTAACCTTTCATGAGTTTGTATTCTACTCCGTGAGGAGAATAATTTAGTATATTCACTTGCTCAAATTGAGTAAGAAATGAATGAGAAAATAGGCTTTTAATTGACTCTCTTGAAATGTGAAAATAGACTTGGTGCAATGTGAAAAATTCTATATGGACATATATAAGGCAAGTTTGCTCTATGNCATCGTCAGTACCCATCACCACCATTATTGTCCACCATCATTGTTAGTCACTGTCACTCACACCTACCACATCTACCACCATTAACAACAACCACTCGACATCGTTCACTACTGTCTCCACTCATTGTCACCTACCTCTACCACACATATCACCACCACCACCATCGTCATTCGTCATTACTTATCACATTGTTGCTCAAAAATACCCGTCGTCACTCATAACCACCATCGTCATCGCTCACCACTGACGCCACCACCATCATCGCCTCACCACCACCATTGGCAATCACCATCACCGTCGCCTACCACCATAACTACTGTCACCCAAAACCCATCACCACTATCACTGTTGCAACCCACGACTGCCACCACCACCACGATTGTTGCCACTCACCACAATCATCTTTGATTTCCACCACCATCACTACCACCTTCAGGCACGGGAAATAACTAGTCAACTTACAAACGAACAACAACAATTAAGATTGATTCAATTTTCATCTACTTTAATCCAAGGGTTCAAAATTCATTCAAAATTCTTTTTTTTTTTTGGCTCAAAATCATCATTTTTTGCACAACTCTTAATGTCAAACAATTCAACCATCACACTCCAATGCTTAGACAATCACACTAATCCACACTTACCTCTCTTTTAATTAATTTTTATCTATTCATTTTAATTTTAAATTATGTAATTAAAGAGAAGAAAAGAAAAATAAATTGTTTCAAAGTATAAATGTTAAACAATAAATCTTCGAGTTTTGTTATTACAGAATGTCTTTAGTCATAGAATTGTTACTATAGATATAGCATTATCACTTATCGAGTATGCTTCCTCTAAGCTTAGTCATATATAGTAATACATGTACGCACACACAAATATATTATATATACACTATAGGTCATTTCAAAATCTTAATTAACTTTAATTTTTTCACAAAATAAATTTTTTTGTGGGCTAAAAGTAGCTTAAAAATGCATTGGCAAAATTGTGATTGTTACCTTTTGGACACGGCCAAACAAAGCTAACAGACGACTCTTTATATGTCTCACTCGTTGGAGATTAAACATGTTTATTTTAATAGAAATTTCATCCAAAGCTGTGTATGCCTCTTGCTCCAGTGTAGATGTCTGTGAAAAAAAGCCAAAACTCATGTGAATTCTAGTTGAAAATAATTATTAAAAAAAAGAATTAAAAAACACATATTGATTTAAAGATAATTAATGATAATGCTGGCTTTAATTTTTAATTTTTAATTTTAAGGAGATTTTATCTTTTGTTTTTACATTTCTATTTTTTACTTATTTTAGTTTGCTCCCTTCCTTCAAAATTCCTCACTTGTATATCATATCTGACCAGACACTAGCCCAATAGATGTATTTGTTGGACCAAAATAGTTTTTTAAGTGTAAAAATTAAATTTTTTGTCGACTTTGAGCCTAAATTGAAATAAGACCCGTTTATTGTTTCGAGTAACCTTTCATGAGTTTGTATTCTACTCCGTGAGGAGAATAATTTAGTATAT